TTCAATTATCCCATTCTACATTATATTTGTTATCTTCTTCTGTTAGCCTAGAATTAGTTTTATTTTTATTTTTTTTAGTGGGGGGGGGCTACTGGGACTTGAACTCAGGGGCACTTGACTACTGAGCCACATCCCCAGCCTTATTTTGTATTTTATTTAGAGACAGGGTCTCACTGAGTTCCTTAGCATCTTGATTTTGCTGAGGCTGGCTTTGAACTAGTGATCCTCCTGTCTCACTCTACTGAGCTGCTGGGATTAAAAGTGTGCACCACCACCCCTGGCTAGAATTCATTTTTATTGTTAGAATACTAATGTATGATTACATTACAATTTATTGCATTGCTGATGGACATTAAGATTGTTTCTAATTTCAAACACTTTACATGTTTATGCATGTTTCCTGGTGCACGTGAAGTATGTTCTTTGCTAGGATTCATATAAAGGATGGGACGATTATGGAATGGAATGGATTTACTATAAGATACTAGACTCTCTAAATGTATTAGATAATGCCACTGTGTATTCTGAAGTGTTTGTACCAATTTATATTTCAAGCAGTGATTTTGAGTTCTGGAGGGCTTGATTAATTATTTTATTTTATTATTAATGGGCTTTAATTTTTAGAGCAGGTGAAGTTCATGACAAATTTGAGTAAAAGGTACAGAGATTTCCAACATACCTCTTGCCACCATGGCCTCCCCTCTATCACTGTCCCTGACAGAGTGGTACATTCATTGTTGTGGGTGAACCTTCAACAGAGGTTAATATTTAAATCTTCCAAGATGAATTTTCTTCCAAGTGAATGCTATGGTCAGACCTTGTACAATAGTGATTCCAAAGGCTGACAAGAAAACAAAATCACTTTCTCTTAGTAACAATCAAACTGTCTATTCCTGTTCTTGGTGTGTGCTGCTTTTCATAAATCTTTGCTCACCATAAAGTGAAAGCATTTGTGTGTGTATATGTGTGTGTGTGTGTGTGTGTGTGTGTGTGTGTGTGTGTTGCTGGGGATTGAGCCCAGAGCAGCTCTACCACTGAAGTACATCTCTGTCCCCATTTTAAAAAAAAATTTTACTTTGAGACAGGTTCTAAGTAGCTAAGGTTGACTCTGAACTTGTGATCCTCCTGCCTCAGCCTCCAGAGTCTCTGGGGATTACAGGTGTGTGCCACCGTGCCTGGCAAAGTCAAGATATGTTTAGATACTCAAAGAAACTGAGGTCTTTATTGTAACAACTTCATTTTATGGCAAAGAAGTTGATGCTCTGTAGAGTGGGCCTTGATTTTTCCCTGTCTGGGGCAGATGGACCTTCACTGTGTTGTAATAGGAATCATTTATTCAATGACACAGCCTGTTCAGTTCCTTTCTGTGTCTGAGTGATTGTGCTGCCAGGATGTTAGAGGTAATACTTTTTAATGTTTGCTGTTAGAGCAATTATTAGTAATTCTGCCTTGGTTACATTAGTTCAAATAACTCCTGGTACCAGCTAAACAGGAAGACACATATTTATTTGGTAAAAATTTTTTTGTTTTAATTAAACAGCCCATCTCTGCTAAATTGTATAACCCCTTTCCACAGTTTGTTTTCCTGGCTGCCCTTAAGAAACCTGAAACTCTCCAACAAGTGGAAATATTTATGTATGTCATGATGCTTCCTATTTCAAGCTGTTTGCCCTCTTCTGTGCTCTGAACTCTTGTACTGAACAAGACAGCTCTCYCTTAAAACACTTAGGTCAGTTTCTTATTTGTTTTCTTTAAACATCAGAAGATCCTCTCTTCCCCTGCCTTCCTGCTCTCCGTAAGTGGAGAGGCTCAGAAGGAGAGAGGGAGGGAGGAAAGGAGGGGAAAAAGAAGAGAGAGAGAGGGGAGAGAGAGAGAGAGAGAGAGAGAGAGAGAGAGAGAGAGAGAGAGAGAGAGAGAGAGAGAGAGAGTGAGAGTGAGAGTGTCAGGTCAACAATGAGCCGTTCAGCTCCACATGTTTGCTGTTCTCTCAGATCTGAAGATGGAGCCTGAAAGCAGAGGACTGGGAGCTGGACTAGCAGGACTGGCTTGGAAGGATCTCCTGGTAGATGAAACAGAAATATTTATGTATGTCATGATAGGTCAGGTTGAGCATGGTGCCCTGCACCCTGGGTTTGATGGTATTTAGAGCAGTGCAGCAGGTACCGCAGGGCACACCATCTAAACAGCTGGTACCCTGTCTGTTTCTACAAACACTATGATTTTAAAAAGGAACATGAAGGGTTTAGATGTGCCCACTTGATTGTATTGCAGCCTATACAACCATGGAACATTTTTTTCACCTGATTTACAGAGGCTTCTCCGCCTTAGAAATCTCATGCAGGTGAGGTTGGTAGCATCTCATGCTGATGAGATGTGCTGTGAGTGTATGTGTGTACATGTGTGCATGTGTGTGTTCATCTCATTACCTGATCTTGACAAGTCTCTTCCTGGTTATTACCTTAAAAAGGAAGTAAAACATGTCCTCTTGGGAATCTCTTAATAATAAAACAATCAAATTAGTAGAATAGGCAAAAACTTACAGGATAAAAACTTGTAGGATAAAATAGTTTATCTTTTCAGTTTTGTAAAGATAACAATTTCTAGTACATGAAGCAAATGTGCTACCTTGTATGTTTTTAGATGTTTTGGCATTTTTGATGCCATTTCAATGGGGGAGATCTATGTTGTGTCAAACAGACAGATAATGGAACAAATATAAAGAGAACTGGGTAGCATTTCACTGTGATAAGTGCTCTTTACATATTTGAAATATAAAGCCATATGTTCATTGATCTAGATTTAGAAATAGCAATAGCAGTATAAACTAATAAAGAATGCAAACTAATCAGTTTTCTTTGGCATTCCTGTGAAGTGGAGTATTTCCTCCTAGTTGTTTCAAATTAGAGTGCTGTTGGATACTGGCCTATTACATACCATCAGCACAGCCTGTTGGTAGGACAAAGCTGAGCTTATTCCCTATGGTGAGGGGGACATCTCTGCACAGGGTCTTAGCAGAGTCTTGGAGAGGGTAGAATGGCAAGGCTGGAATTTATTAAGAATTGCAGTTTGGTTGAATGAAGATCTTTTAATTTGGGGGTTGAGTGTCAGGGAATGGCAAATGGGGAAGGAATCTGATAGGGTTTCTGTATGGATCATGATACAATTTAGAATTGGTTTTATATATACTGTCTGTGGAGACTTCCTACTGAAGAGTCGATGAGTCTTGGGGGAAGTCCCTGTAAGAACAATCAGTCATTTGCCTGAGCAAGTGTCTCTGGGAATAGTGAAGTTATCTTCGTGAAGACAATGGAAACATAAAATCATGTTAATATGGACAGTGAGCTGTGTGGGGAAGCAGGTGGTTTTGTCCCAATTGTGTGTGGGAGTACAGAATTTCTTTTCTCAACTATTGCTCAAGAGGTATCTGAGGCAGAACCAAGAACAACAGATGCTACCTACAGCAGCTGTAGTCARATACTAAAAGCTAACTTTTGTAGGAATTCACCAGGGGAAGAGCTATTGGTCATTTATTCATTCATCTAATAAGCCAATATAGAGCACATCCCACATCCCAGGCACTGTGCTAAGATTGGGAATACTACAACATACAAGACAGAGTCCCCACTTCTTGGTCCTTTCAGTCTGGTGTTACACAGCTTTGTCTGGCTCTTTGTAGTTTACACACACAGTCAATAACATGACTGGAGTTTCTGTAAGGCTCACATTCTTGCTGCATGCTCATTGCAACAGATCTTGCTGGTAATTTCATGTTTAGGTTAAAATGAGGCATATTTTAAGGTGTGCCAATGCCTATAGAGTTCATGGGTCTATCTTGTTTTTATTTTATTTATCTGTTTATTTGTTTATTTATTTTAGACAGGGTCTCACTATGTTTCACAGGCTGGTCTCAAACTACTAGACTTAAGAGATCCTCCAGCCTCAGCTTTCCAAGTGCTGGGACTACAGGTTTATGCTACCATAGCCAGCTTGTGACTAGTTTAGTTTTTTTTTTTTAAAATATGGGCAAATTTATTCTTTTACATACTTATAATACAGTGTTTACTATGGGCGAGTCGTGTTCCAGGCACTGAGCCATTGCAAGAAAAATACAGGTGTACAAACTTTATACAAATTAGCTAATCTAAACACACAAATAATTCTGATTTTTAACAGCTGATCGCCATTTAACTCCACAAATAAGGAATAGCTTTGGTTTGCCAGACTATGCTAGGGTATTAGAAATAGAAGCACCAAGGACCTGTCAACCTGCAGAGTGGTCCAGCTGGGAACCAATCATAATGCATAGAAGCAAACATCATAAGGGAAACCAAGACACAGACCAACCAGGAGCCCTTTGTCCAGCAAAGGGGTGTCCAGGGGCATCCGGTAAGGCCTGGTTTTAGCCTGCTGCACAGCTGGCCTGGCTTTGGCAATATTGACATAAGCTCAGGGATCTAATAGATGACCAAATACCACTGTAAGATTTGAGAAAGGCCATAGTCTCATATTTTCTGGATATATGAAGTCCATTTTGTTGTAGCTTCACCAGGGGAGAAACAGCACTGAGGATAAAGGGTAGAAACAGAGGCTCCTTAATAGCCTTGGCCTCTGAGAGCCTGCCCTGCCTGAGTAGCGGACCCTCCTTCAGGGATCTTGGAAGCTGACAAGTATCTGTTTACCAAAGAGTGGTCTTTCCCTAGAACCTGTTTTCCTTAGATGACCCTCCTGCATGTGCAGAGACAGCGATGGCAATATGTAGACAGTGAACAAAAAATCATACCAGTGAAAAGTGGATCTGGCTCCAGCATCTTCTGGCTCCCTAACCTTGGACAAATCCCTCTCCATATTCACAGAGTGAGGTGTTGGGATTTGGTGCTTTGGCAGTTCCTTATGGCTCTGACGTTTTTATTATGTCTAAATACATTGTCTCTTTGATAAAATGTATGAAATGAACTGTGACGACAGAGGAACTAATGTCACATGCTTTTCTTTCTCTGCAGTATCTCTACAAAGAGAGTCTCTTCTACACTTGGCTGTGAGATGGGGCTTGGCTAAGCTTTTCCACTTCTTCCTGTGTCTCCCTGGGGGAGTGCAGGCCTTGGCATTACCCAATGAAGAAGGCGCCACACCCTTGGACTTAGCTTCACATGGTGGACACTCCAGGCTGGTGGAAGACATCACCAAGTAAGTTCAGATGCTTGATAGTTTCTCTCTTCATCTGTTTCTGTAAAGTCTGCCAAGCATTATGAAAAAAATAACCCAATCATAAGTTAATGTTGGTGTATGATTTTTACTTTTAGTTCATTTGTACCATACAGACACAAAGCTGGGACCTTATCTGTTTTACCCACTGCAATATTTCTATAACAGTGCCCAGTCCATGATTTTCATTGAAAGAATATACATTTTGTTAAATCAATGAATAACAGACGGACTTTATGGTACTATTTAGCCAGTGGGATGGTCATTAGGGTCTAGAAAAATAATATAAAGGAAATAACTTGCTAACTATAAGGTTCTTTATGTTGATGATTTATCAACACTTTTGTGAATTGTGAGTATATTGTTTTATTTAGAACGGTTCAGATTGGTCATTATTTTTAACTTACGAAAGAAGGTTTCGTATATATTGATTTTCATGATTTAATGAGTGGTCAAATATATAATATAATTGGAAAAGTACTTTAAGAATTATAAAGTACTATATAAATATTATTAGAGTATTATTACACAATGTCTCATAGTAGACTGGTTTTTCTTGTTTGGCTCATGGAACTCAATGTAACTAATTTATGGTTATATGGGGAATGAGAGAATGTTAGAGTAAAAACTGGAGATTTCTGTTTATTTTTCTTATTTGGTCAAATGACCATCAATCAAGAGACAAGCCTATCCAAAGGGAATTTCCTTTATCTTTGGTTTAACRTGACCTCACTTTTTAGCTAGTGGGGCAAGAATGCTTCCTTTGACTTAGTCATCCTGGATATTTAGTTCATGGTTCAGTGAGGTCCTGGAGGCCAGCTCTTCATATGTTGGTAGCTTTGTATCTTTTTTTCTTCATGCAAGAAAAAATTATGTGTTTTAAAAGCTTGCATGCTTAATAAATCCATCCATGGATGGAATTAAAAGTATGTAAGTTCAATGTTGATCATAGGATGAAGCTTCCATTTCTAAATTAACGACAAGGATCTTACTCCTCAGGCTCAGAGTCCATTCACCTTGGTGGCTTGGTGTTGGCATGGGAATTTTTCTGGAAGATTCTAGAATCCTTGCCATCAATTGGTGTGAAGATTTGGGGAGGTTCCTCAAGCCTTAGAGTAACAACTTCTCTTTGTAGATCTCTTTTTTTTTATCATTCTGGATGAGGGCAGTAATATTTATTTCAGTGGAAATATAGATACTTCTTGACATCTGATAGGTCTGTCCTTGTGAGCCCATTGCAAATTGAATAACCCTAAGTTGAAAATGAATTTATTAAATTTAACCAACCAGCAGCATAACTTAGCAACACAGTCCACCATGGAGTATTGATTATTTACCCTTGTGATTGAGTGACTGCCTGGGAACTGTGGCTTGCTGCCACTGCCCAGCCTGGGAACATACCAAAATTCAAAATTTGAAGTAAGATTTATGATGAATGTATGTAGTTTTAATACCATTGTGAAGTTGAGAAATTATTAAACTGTTGTAAGTTAGGCACCATCTGTAGAATATATTTTTGTAAAGCAACCAGTTTTTGGCAAAATAAGGTCATATTAGAAGAGGAAAGAGACACAGAACTGAAGTGAGGAATCTGGGAACAACCTTTTGGGATGTGACAACATGCTGAACATTAACATTTTTATCCTGAGGCATCTTTACTGTTGCTATTGCATGATAACCCATCTAGAATATTGGGACATTAACCATGAAGCCTACTAATAGCTAATGAATATGCAATTGTTCTTTGCCATGACAGAACAGAAAAATCCACTTATATTCAAGAATTTAACTTGGGAATATTGTTCTATTGTTAATGAATGTATTCAAGAATATGACATGATTAAATTTATGCATGTTTTAATTTGCATGAGAAAGTGATTTGCAACAGTGGTACCAGTGTGTTATGAATACCTCACTTGTTTGTAACATCCAAGCTTCACCACACTCCCTGGAGAGCATGTCTGTTTTCCACTGTAATCATCTAATAAACTATTGGCTGCCAGTTAATTTGTTCTACATGTGGCTCCATTAAAGGGAGAGGCATCTTTTCAGATTAAAAGGGGAATGAAATTTTGAGGTAAATTTCTATGTTTGAGTTAGTAATGTTTCACTGTTTATCTAAATCTTTAAAGTACGTAGTATACTTCAATATCTTTTCCATAGACCCTTCTCTGGGTGTCTATAGTTTTTTTTTAAGTAGCTGTTTTCATGAGCTTATGTATTTGTTGCACGTAGGTGATTTTCAAGGTTTATTTTGTCAGTTGGGTTTGTCATATCAGGGAGCTAAGGGAATTGGAATCTTGGGGGTGGTATTTCAGAAACTGTGCATGGATTTTGATTTGTGATGTTTCAGTTTTCAGGACAAGTGTTCCCCAGGCTTTTCTCGAGTTCGGCTCAGTGAAGATGCCTCCCTGCAATACATTCACTCATCAGAAACACTGACTCTGACCCTTAACCACACAGCCGGGCATTTGTTGGAGGCAGATATTAAACTCTTCCGGAAATACTTCTGGGACAGAGCCTTTCTTGTCAAGGTTTGTGCCCAGATGTTCTGGTACACAATAGTGCACACTCCTTTACAGAATACAGGCATCTATTCATGGTTTTAGGAACAGTATTTTTTGGGGGGTAGCACTTTCTTTCTAATGAAACATTGGGGGGCATGGAATTGGAAACTATTAGATCAATAGAATGAAGATTACATATGTTGTTATCAGGAAAACAGTATTTTGTATAATATTCCTGTTTACTTTTCTGAGTCCAACCCCACCCATGGTTGGGTTTTAATTCTAACACTGGATGTTTTATCTGTACTTATTAATTGCTTTATAATTCTCAACTAAAGCAGTTGCATTTAGGACTATTGTATGTGTATATATCCACTCCTGGGCTTCCTTGTGGTTTAGATGTAGTTAAGCCCAGGCATACAAATAGGAACAGGTAAGAACTTAGTTTTTTTTTCCAAAGAGATTTTCCCCCTTCCATCATGACCAGCTTTGAGGGCTATCATAGCTTCATATCATAGCATGCCCATTTCAGAGTTAAAATGTTTTACTTTCTTTATAATCATTATCATTATATTTTAAGTTCATTTTTATTAATGAACCCAAGTTAAAGTCTCAAACTGGGGTTCAGGTTCTAAAAGATAGGCAGGTTTAGTATATTTGTCACCACCTTAATATTGCTTAACTTCAGGTAAAACTGATAGCTGATAAGTCTGTGAATTGAGGATAAATCCTGAGTTGTTGATGTTAATATGCTATTCAAGAACCCCAAGTATTTATTTTTGTTCTATGTTGTAATATATCTTGCTAGGCTCATGTTAATTATTTTGACAATGGCCTCTTTTTTTCTAATTTACTCAATTATTTTAGTTAATGACCTGATATGTTATTACTATTATTATTTTTTAGAAAACAAATAGAATGTGACTAAAAAAATATAAAGAATATTTAACATATTTTAATTATTATTAGGCAAAGTGTTATTTAGCTTGGTTTGTTGTTATTTTAAATGTAAGCAAGTGGTAATTATTATGGATTTTTCATACTAAAGCTTTACAACTTAGGATAAGAAATATTACATGACCATATATAGATTTTGTACAGAAAGTATTCATGCTTTACTGGATCTTACATGTCTAAAAGTTTATTTTTATGTGTTAGCTTTAGATGACTTGGCTCTGAGGTGAGGGGCTGAACCACAACTCAAACTCAGTCTCTTACAAGGAGACACATTAAGTCTAAGGTTTGAGCATTGCTCAGTTATCTGCAGCCTTCTAGAGCAACAGTGGACAATTTGCTGTGGAAACTCAAGCTTGCTTTACCATGCACTCGACCTAGCGTGGTGCTCCCCTTCAGAAGCCACAGAGGTTACAGGTTTTCACTCTATATTGCAGTTTATAGTGGTGGCATGACAATTTGTAATAAGTATTAAATGTTAAAGTGACAGGTTTGTGCTAAATATCTAAACTGTAAAGACAAATATTAAGAAATTAAAGAAAAAGCAGAATCCTTTCTTGGTTGTTGTTGATTTGCCTGGCACTGGGGATTGAACCCAGGGCCTTGCACATGCACATACTCTGCCATTAAGCCATACACTTAACCCTGAATAGGCAAAGTCAGCTGTATCCTTTATTAATTTTTCTTAATTGTTTAACAAAGTATTTCCTATTAATCAGAATGCTGATAGCTGAAAATTTATTTGTGGAACTGGGCTAAAATTAATAAGACAACCAGTAAATTTAAATTTCTCTGAGGTGGCATTCCAAGTCACTTATAAAAGTGAAGTATTCACACATTCCATTTCCAAAAATAATAGTACTTTATTTCATGTTTTGTAATCAGAAACCAACATTGTCTGTTGTGCTTTTCTTGCATAAGCTTGACAGCTCCCCTCATTGAAAGATAAGGGTTCAAGGTCAAGGCTGACCTCAGGTAAACACGGTGCAGGTGAATGTCTCAGGCCTAGAGACCCCTCTTTCAGCCCCATTTCTTATACTTCCATCTCCTCAGCACCCCCTAGTATTGAACTACTCTAGTCCATCTCTTAAGTCCCTGGAGGCTCTGGAAGAGAGAACACCATATCCTGGAAGAGGTGCTGGGCAAGTTAGTAGCCCAAACAGGGTGTGTGACTAGACATTCCCTGCCCTTTTGTGGTCAATGAGTTGTATATTTTCTCATGTCATTTTTTGCTCTGGCCTCAGGATGCTGTTCCAAGATGGTCAGAATGAGGCAATAGATCCACTGGGCTGAAGCATGCTTGGTAGGATTCAGGGGTCTGTATCAGTTGTGTGGTTTCCCACCCAAGGAGGCTGAAGATTTATTTTGGAACATGTGCTAATGCATTTTTGGGCTCTTTCACCATTTGGCACATCAGCAAGTGATTCTGCATATTTTCACATTTTTGCTGGCTGTGAGTAGTCTGTCTGAAAAGAAAATCCAGATGGTCCCAAGAGGGCAGCTTTTCTCTAAGGCCTTTGCAAGGCTTCCCAACTTAGTTTCAGCAGGTATAGCTTGCACTTTCGGTGCCAGTTTGCAGCTCAAGGTGTGGTTTTCTACTTTTTTGGTCCATGGACATCCTGGATCCTACCTGTGATTGTGGTCCTATCCTGTCATCTAACCCTCCAAGGTCCCTACATCGTAGGGTCTGGGTGTGGGTTGCTACTGGTGAGCAGATGCAGTGTCCCTTGTTAACAGTTTCAGAGATGTTCTGTTCTTTTTCTGGTTTATGCATCACATTCCTGAGAGCTTTCTGATTGTTGTGACCTGCAGAAGCAGTCAAGGATTAGTGGAAGGGACAGCTTTGGCCCCCTTGCCCCTGGATTTCTCTGACTTAGCTCCCTGTTATTCTGGAACAGTGACTGTTCTCCCAGCAGTTCTTACCTACCCTTGTCTTTCCCAGACTTCCCAGCTCTCAGGTTCTTGATTGTGACTTTTCTCTCTTTGTTGTATATCAGAAGTCTCAAATAGTTTTCAGTGATTTTTTCCCCCTTCATTTCTTAGGCTCTTGAGCAAGAAGTCAGGCCAGAGGAAAGACCAACTATGCCTTCCCGAGTTGCAGAAACTGAAGAAGGTACGTATGCTTTTGCCCCATTAGGCAACTAGAAAAGTACCAGGACTAACTAGCTAACCAGTCTGCTGAAGTGCGTGGCAAAATTGCATGAACTAAGAATCTCAGAGGCAAGATCTGGGGTTAGTGGTGATTACAAAGCCCCTGGATCCTCTGACGGCACCAAATGCAGGGTACTGTTTGTTTCCATTTTCTTCCACTAATGTTCACTGAGTGCTGTTTGCAAGCCCTTGGCTGGGTCTTCACATTCTTGATCTTTTGAGCATTCTCTGGACACACATAGATTGTTTATATCTTATTGCCAGTGGCTTCCCTTTTGCTTCATACTTTAGTGAGGGTATTATGTTGATTTTGGTTTTTAAAAATTTTATGTGAGGATCAGTTTACAAATATTTGGAGAGGTAGATTGTGTTATCTGTTAATTTAATTTCGGGGTAGTGAAGGAAAATTATGAAAGTTCAGTCTGTTCATTTATTTAGTCCTTCCTTCCTTTATTCGTTCTTTTGCTCATTTAACCTTTGTGAAACTTCTCTTCTAAGTTAGGTCACCAGGTCTTAAAGGGAAGCTTTGAAAATCATTAAGATATGTTGGTTGGCACAAGGGGTGGGCAGCACCATTGGCATTTAGAAGTAAGGGGCTGGGGTCCTAGATGCTTATCAAGGTACAGGCAGTCCTTCCTAAGAGTTGCCCTGTAGAGCTAATTTCAAGACTGAATGCACAATTCTAGTGGCAGGAGTTTACACAGGAAGATATTTTTATAATACATTACCACTACATTGTTCTCCATCTTAGCACACAAAATCATTCTGATGCCACCCTTGAACCAATTCACCTGCAGGAATACCATTAATCTTCATTTTCTCCAACTTGGCAATTTATTAGGGTATTCAATCCTTACTGTAATTCATATAGTTCCCTCTTTTCCATGTATACCTGAATCTGGTCTGTTAATAAATCGTAATAATAAGCACAAGTTTTTATCTTAGGAAGCATTCTCATCTATTTTTTGCATATTCCTGTATTTTTTTGTCTGGAAAGAATTCTGGTTTCCAGAGAGAATCCAATAGTTGCAAACGTCTGACCACATCATTGTGTCTTCCAAGGCAGCTAAGGAGATTGTTTTGTATGTTGAAATACAAAATATCTTACTATCAGTTGCTTTCCTTTTGCTTCATACTTTAGTTAGGGTATTATGTTGATTTTGACTTTTTGAAATTTCATGTGAAGATCATGTTATATGTATTTGTAGAGGTAGAATTGTCTTGTCTATTAATTTTATTTCAGGGTAGTGAAGGACCATTATGAAATACCTGTTAATGTAAAGGGACATTGGTCTGACAGGGCTGAGAATCTCCATGCTAGATGCTGCCGTTCGGGAGGTAAAACAGGGCAATGTCCTCGTTTCTACCCTACCAAGGTTAACAGCTGGTTAATAACTTTGATCCTGCTTTTAATTGACAACTTGGAAACAGGATTTATCAGATAGCATAATAATAAACTCTTTGCCCTATGTTTGTAGAAAAGTTGTCCCAGATAAGAAGTATCTATGGTGAGCTGCTAGAAGTCTGTGTGGCCTGTCCATGATGTCCCTGCTCCTGGGTCAGTCCTGATCAATTGAGCTTCCTACCTAGCCTACATCTTTGGGGCTTGTGGAGTTGCCCTTGTTGTGGGTGGTGCTGCTGGCTGTGTTGGGGAGGAATAAGGGGTCTGCCTGCCTAAGGAGTTAGTGGGTTCTTTCATGCTTCATCCTTCAAGACTGAGAGGAGAAACTTCTTCCTGGTCTATTGTGGGGAATGCTGGCTTTCCCTGAGCACCTGGCCCAGTTTTACTGCTATAACTATAACTGATCAAGTTTCTTACTTCTTGTTGGCTGGTACTAGCCATGAAGCTGTCACTGGCCTGCCAATTGCAAATACCTAGGGCACTACATTTTATGTTGTCCTTTTTTTTTTTTTTCATTTAAGCCTCTACCTTTGCTTTTTTAAAAATTAATTTTTAAGTTTATTTTTTATTAGTTATACATGACAGTAGAATGCATTCAATCACTTTGATATATTATGCATAGATGGGATATAACTTCTCATTTTTCTGAGTATACATGTTGTAGAATCATATTGGTCATGCAGTCACATATGTACCTAAAGTAATAATGTCTGTTTCATTCTACTATCTTCCCTATCCTTGCATCTCCTTCCCTCCCCTCCCTTCATTTCCCTCTACCTAATCTAAGGTAACACTATTCTTCTCTGATACCCTCCTCCTTATTGTGAATTAGCATCCACATATTAGAGAAAACATTCAGCCTTTGGTTTTGTGGGATTGGCTCACTTCTCTTAGCATGATATTCTCCAACTCCAACCATTTGCTGGCAAATGCCATAATTTTACTCTTCTTTAAAGCTGAGTAATATTGCATTGAGTATATATACCACATTTTAGTTATCCATGCATCTATTGAGGGACACTCAGGTTGGTTTCATAGTCTAGCTATTGTGAATTGAGCTGCTATAAACGTTGATGTGGCTATGTCACTATAGTATGCTTACTTTAAGTCTTTAGGTATTACCATGGAGTGGGATGGCTGGGTCAAATGGTGGTTCTATTCCAAATTTTCTGAAGAATCTCCATACTGCTTTCCATAGTGGTTGTACTAATTTGCAATCCCACCAGCAATGTATCAGTGTACTTTTTTCACCACATCTTCGCCAACATTTATTATTGCCTGTATTCTTTATGATTGCCATTCTGACAGGAGTGAGATGACATCTTAGAGTACTTTTGATTTGCATTTCTCTAATTGCTAGAGATGTTGAACACTTTTTCATATATTTGTTTATTGATTGCATATCATCTTCTGAGAGGTGTATGTTCAGCTCCTTAGCCCATTTATTGATTGTGTTATTTATTTATTTTTTGCTGTTGTTGTTAAGTTTTTTGGGTTCTTTATATATCCTAGAGATTAATGCTTTATTGGAGGTGGATGTGTATACACAGATATACATGTACACACACACACACACACACACACACACACATACATAGCTCTCCTCACTTTATTAATTGTTTCCTTTGCTGAGAAAAAGCTTTTTAATTTGAATCCATTCCATTTATTATTTCTTGATTTTTGTGCAGGGTGAGAGAGGTTTAATTTCATTTAGCTACATATGGATTCCAGTTTTGCCAGTGCTTTTTTTTAAGTCAACTTCTAATTTTTTTATCATCTTGTATATCTTTTCTCCATTGTATCCCCCTTTAAACTAATTAAGAAAAAAAACCAAACTCTAAATAAGTACTTAAATTCCAAGTTTTATATTTAAGGGGCTTCCAGTTTGGGTTTGGGGATGAGAAAACAAGCTCTCTCAGAAAAGTATAATTGCTCTAGGAGTCATTTGCAGATCACACTGTGAGCATACTGCAGACTTGACAGTGGATGGATCAGGAGAAGCTTCTTGAAAGAAGTGCCCCCTGGAGCTGTGCACTAATATAGGGAAGGCTTCCAGATGGTGGAAATACATGCAGTATGGACTCCTGAACTGGAGGATGCATCAGGGGAAATGCTGGTCATTTTTTAGTCTTAGAAGTATAGGGGTTTGTGTGTGTGTGTGTGTGTGTGTGTGCATGTATGTGAGTATGTGTGTTTGTGTGTACATATACATCTGTGTGTAGTGGTGGTGGTGATACCAGGAATACATGCATGAGAGGCAGGTAGACTGGCAGGACATATATAAGAGGCCAGGAATAGGAGCTCCTCCCTGACTGCTCTACAGCTGTTTGAAACAATTAGATTAGATTATTAGTTTAGAATGGTCATTCTGGAGGGAGTATGGAGAATAGATTTGCAGGGCCAAGTGGAAATCTGGGAACCAGCCAGGGTCTGCTGAAAAGAATGCAGCAGATGGGCTGCACCATAGCAATGCAACGAGCTGGGAGAGGTGGAGACAGGTGAGTCCTTTCCTGAAGGTGCAGGGTCTAATTGGAGCCAGAGTGAGGGAGAAGTCTAATTGATTCCTCCTTTCCTGAGGTATGTCTGTAGGTGGGATAGGCCTTATATCAAGCAGAATTGACCCAAAATGTACTCAGTTTTGGACAGGTTGAGTTTGTATGGACCTGTGAGGCAGCCAGGTAAAGAGGGCTGCAGTTGGATGGTGGAATGTGATGGACATCATTATCCAAAGTACATGTATGAAGACACGAATTGGGTGTCAAATATCTTTGTTTATGTACAAACAGAGATATGAAAAATTGTGGTATATATGTGTGATAAGAATTGTAATGCAAAAAACCTCACAAAGTACACGTATAAAGACATGAATTGGCATGAACATACTTTACATACAAAGATATGAAAAATTGTGCCCTATATGTGTAATAAGAATTATAATGCATTCCATTGTTGTGTATTTAAAAAAATAAAATCAATTAAATAAAAAAGAGGGCTGCAGTCACTAAACTAAAAAATGGGTAGAAATTTAATTCCCTTTAGTTTCATATTAATAATGTGTGTATTTTATAGTACATCTAGATACATTTTTGTATTTAACTACCCTTGAAGGAATATTAGAAGCTGTATTCACATTCCAGCAGAGGGCAGTATTCAGCTAATACGAAAACAGTTTTGTCCATTCAGGAGCCCTCAGAGATGTAACTGAAAGAACAAAGCATTTTAAGCATAAGGACTTCCTTCCTTTTTCTTTTAACCATAAACTATTTTTGAGATCTACTAGAAGATTTTTTTAGATGAATTGTGCTTTTCTATGCCTTTTGGGGCAATGAGTGGATGAAGAGCTTGCCTTTGTAGCTGTAATAGGTTATAACTTTAGCCTGGAAATTAAGTCTTCTGCCTTTGGGTGCAATGAATGATTTTATTATTATTCCTATGAACCAATTATGTTTGCATAATTTCATGATTATAATTGCACTTCCAGAATAATAGGAAGCTATCCTGAATGAATTAAACAGGCCCAAAAGTCATCTCATTTTTCAATATGCTCAGATTAATAGACC